AACGAGAAAGGTAGCACAAGTGCTTCCTCTGCCTGGAGCTCTGGAGTCACTTGTCTGTGGGGAGTCTGAAGGCCTCTGAGTAGTCGCTGGCGCCTATGCCCATGGTAACGTCTATATATAAGTGTCGCTTTGAGCGAAGAGCGCGTGAAATAGTACTTGAGAAAAGTTGTCAGTAGTCTTCGTTGGTGAATTTGTCGACTGGTTGTGATTCGGAGAAAAAGGCTCGCTTTATTTTCCCAGTTTTCATTCTAGGCCCCATCCGTTCGAACGGTACTTACTCCTCAATCCATAGGCGTTCCAGAAAACGGACTGCTTCGAGTGACTGATTATAGCTGGCTCTTCTTTCGCCACGATAAGGTTTGTAGCGACCCGAGGCTTCCAGCCATATCCGAATCGTAGGGTTGAGGATTCCCCTTCCTCGAGGCTGTAATGTGTATACATGTGAGCGAGAAACTATTGTGAACGGAAGACGCTATTTTGCTTGAATGTTGGAGCACACCACAGAGATAGCCTGACCTCGCATTGGCTTGGAGCATCTCATTTTTGTTCGCATGAATGTGCTTTATCTCATTTCTATCGCGCTATCCTTTTGCTCCACTTTAATCCATTCAGGCGCTTTGCAACGAAAGCCAGTCGTGCAGGATTCAGGCAAGCCTACTACCATCACTGCGTTCAAACCGCCTCAGTGCTTGGTCTCAATAGCGACCGCTACAGTTTTTAGGGGTGGAAGGGTAAAAAAAGGTTCATACCAAAGCACCAGGACAAAAGGCCACCGTTTTTGGAAGCATCGTTTGCGACCGAACGCCACGCCACATACGATGGTTGACCGATGCTCGCACAATAATGGGCTCTAATCTGTGACAGTGCTAGACGTGTATGCTTCCTTGTGGCTGAAGGTCAAGTCCCGGTAACGGCGCGTTTAGTTGAAATCCCCCAAATACGATAAGGTTCGATAAGTGCCGAAAAAGTTTGCCATTAGTATTCAAGAAAATATTCACGTTCCAGATTCGAAGCACCTTCCCTCCCTGAACAGAAACGAAGCCAAAAATTCTGTAAGAACGAACGCACGCGCGGCCGAAAGTTGGCTGTGAGGGCAGGCGTTAGAATTTGACAACTCGATCAAGATGGCAGATGCAAATGTTGATTGACTTCTTCCAGTTGAAGGAAAAACATTCTAGTTACGGTGCAACGGACGCGAATCTTATCCTGACAATTCCAATTAACTGTCGTTAGGTCAAGAAATAGAATAGATACACTTCGGTAAAAGAGGTACACGACTTTGAAACTTTGGACTGGACAGTGAGAATTTGAAGGACCATACGTTAGGATATAAATGTTTGATAATGTTGTAGGTTATGTGAGTTAATATCTCGTGAGAATCATTAGCTGACGATGTACCTTTTTAACTGGATCGCTTGAAAGGCTTTATCATGCAAGGCAATCATATCGCAAACATGGTGTTCTCATGTTCAGACAGTCATATACGTTGGTTTAGAACAGTTTAATGATCTAAGGTTGCGTTACTACGTCTAAAAGCTAGATCGAGAAGTGCCTACGTTTTTCCGTCCAGATCTAAGGCACGTATATGCCATCAGAAGCCGGTAGCGATTTAAAAGCGGCACCGCCGGCCACTTGTTGCTGGTTTAACTGTCTTCCGATCTCAATTTACAATAACGACTAAAGCTATCGCGACCTTTTGAAAGCCTTTATAACTCATACAATATGGAGTTTGGCGTTTTCGATGATGAAAGTGTGCGTTGTCCCTTCGTTTCCTGTTGACTAGTGTATGTTTTTTTACGCTTCTGGTTGGATCTGCATTCATACGACATTTCGTCGATCAATTAGTATCTATGTATTCACACAACGATGGACCCAACGAGTGCCGACGGAAGTACTCGTCTGTGATAACATTCTGGCGCTATCGGGGAATGACGCTGCTCGACAATCGCAGGGCAGAACGGCGTACATAGAGCGTGAAACGCCAGCGACTCTGAGGTCGGCAACCGCTTCATCAAGGATTTTCTACCGTGGCATTGACGAAATACGCACAGCATACACCCTGTAGGTTTCGCTGCCCTTGGCGACAGGCGCCCTCAGTCGCGCGCATCCTCAGTGGCGCAATCTGTAAATGACGACGGTAACAACGAAAGGAAGCGAAAGCGCTATGCTAACAGCATACAGTTGAATTTATTCATGGCTTAAGCCTTACCCAATGAACACATAATCAAACGCGGAGCGCCCCTTTTGTAGATTCGGCAAATGTACCGGCCCCCCGCTTCCTTTGGGGAAGCTTGGTTTTCCCTTCTCTTTCATCTCCTCTTCTAACACCGTTCCTTCACTGTTCTCATCCGTTCGCCTTCTGCAAGAAAGTGGCTCAGGATTTGCACAAAGATGATACAACCAACATAGCGCATAAAAAAAACGCAGGAGAACAAAACATTATCCGATATAGGGAGAAACCTGTGCCGAGCTGTGGTCGTCGAAATCCCTGTTCGGTCCGTCACGACACAGCTCAGTGGGTTTCGACCGACCTCAGTTGCGGAGCCAATAAGTGACAACGGACAACAACTGCGACCCAAAAAAGACCGGAGAAGACACCAGGGGCAAGCTGAAAGGAGCACGACGCGGACAGCGTTTATCGCGCGGTATCGTATGACAGCATTGATTCACAATACTAGATTCGAATTTACGATCATCATCGCGTCATTTACACGTGGCCTGAGCGAGCGAAAGGCAGAAAATAAACAGGGGTGGCAAAAAGAAAAGACAACCGTTGACTTTTTAGGGGAAGAGGGAAATGTTGGTGCTAGCTCTCTGGTCGTTTCATCAGATAGTGATGCTGGCATCCCTAAAGGTGCAGTGAGGTCGGCTTCTGGCTTTCTCTGTTCCCTCACCCTCATCCTTATCTTTTGTTCTTTCCCGTTTTTCCCTTTCCATGTCTCTTTTTCGCACTCTGTCTCTCTCACACAACCGTGGGTATTTGTCCCTTTTCACGAGGCATTGTCAATGACTTGCACCGAAGGGAATAATGGGCAGGTGGGGTAAGAAGGAAGGACAAGTGCTCCCGAAATGTAAGGTTCCTCAATCGTACACACAACTTACAAGATTTGCTCCCAATGTTTGCATGCAGAGAGAAGGTGACGAAGGTCGACTAGGAATTTTCATCCTGATTCTTGTCAGTACAGCAGAGCAGAGCACGGTTGGCCGAGAAGCAGCGGAGGAACAGTCAGCTAGTTTCCCTCGATATCGGCGATGGTCCGACAGCTGCCACCAACAAGCACGACTCCTGGCCAGCGGGGCTGAATGGTCCCAGGTTCGCCGGCGACTGACGGAGCAGCCGAGTCCCTTCTGCCGAAGAAAAGAGTGGCATTGTTGAAAAACTGGCATCGGTGGTTGCAGCAACGAAACAACGCAGCGCAGGACCCAGATGGAACCGAACGAAGAGATGTCGGACGAACAGATTGAACGGACGCTAGGTGGATTGTTGGTAATTCCGTTGTTCTGTCGGTCGGTTCATTGCTTGCTCGTAGTGGAACAAGGAGCAGAATGCAAGACGCCGAGCAAAGACGAAAGCAAAATAATAGCTAGTGAGATCATCAGAAAAACATAGGGGCAAGGTTTCGGCTTGAGAACGCAGCTACTTGACGTCAACGATTGGTCGAAATAATGGAATCGTATCAATGGAATATTGTGTAAATTTCTTTTCCAAACATAGTTTTTCTACAACACGTTTACAACACCGGACAAGAACGGATTTTGGAGTAGGAGGCCACATAGCCAGGGCACAAAGTCGTCCTGCACCGCTTAACGATACGCGATTCTCACTTGCGAATTCGATGGTTCACTGGCTACTACGGTCGGGCACTCTTTTGCTAATGCTGCTCTGGGTAGTATAGCACAAGACTCGGCAAATGTCCCGATTAGTTACTTTGAGTTGTAAATTTGCGCGAAGAAACAATGCCGTGTTAGTTCTAGCTGGCCCTTCGCTATGTCCTCGCTAATCTGTGTGTGTATAAACAACAGTAGCAGGCTGCACATATGTTTTATTGAATACCCACCCACCGCCGTTGACGCGGACGAATTCTCTTCTCATGGTTGTTGTTCATGTCCCCATTGTTACTACCCACGCTGAGCATTTAGCAAACACATCCATTAGTGTCTGCCGTTGATTGTTGACGTTGCTGTTGCTTACGCTGTTATTACCCCCGAGCAAAAATGGAATGACAGATTTTTTAGCCCCCCCAGGTCATGTACTAGGCAGGCGTAGCTGCATCGATGAACCTGTACAAGCAGCAGAAACTTACTAAACCGGACAAAGCCGAGCTAACCTAACAGGAACGAGGCGGAACTTAGAGCGAAATATGGCGTATGTAAAGGAATGAATGGTAAAACTATACGTACGGAAATGAGCCGCAGTTATAGCAGTAATAGCGGAAACGAATTTATAGCAGAAACAATGGCAAGTTAAAGAACTGAGAAGTTCTTAATATATAGGTATCGATTATATTCGCATTGAACGTTACAAATCAAAATCCAGTTGTTCTGTCTGTGTAAAGTTGGAGCGCAGATATATGTGCTCTTGTGCTACATAACGATATATCAAATTGAAGGCAGGCAAATTCAAAAAACCCAAACAGCAGCAGTCAACAACAACAAACATAGAGGTCAAATGGAAATAATGCCTCGAATACTACTACTAAGACGATAATGCTATCAAAGTGATAAGTAATGAATTGCTGATGAGATAAGGTACGACTGTAAGGGTCGATTTCTGATAACGAAAAACAGTAGCCTGATATCTGTACAACGCATGATAAGATAGGCATCGCCACTCGCAGAAATCTTACAATATATATATATATATATATATATATACGTATATATATATATATTTTTTTTTATTGTATTATACCAAATGACAACAAGAGACAGGCAGGACTGACAGAAAGAAACCATATAATAGATACAACTATCTAACATGCCCATTGGTTGAGGCTTACCTTTCTCTTCGCCGACTAAAAGACGAGACGAAATATCGGTTAGTTCACTGATGTATTGTTCTAGTTCTATACAACGTTATATCTAAATAGCATATACAAGGGATACTCTGTTCCATCTTTTGCTTTTTTTTTCTAGCATTTCTGTATTGTTTGTCGCCGTTTCATAGACATCAATGGCATAGTGCTGGATTAAGCACAGAACGACGCTAATGCTAACATTTAAACGCCGGCGTAGCATATTAGTCACTGTCAAACCGGACCCTCACGCTAGCCTTATAGGAGGAGGGTCAAATACCACAATACCAAACCAATGCAAAGTGTTAAATCAATAAAATCATCACTTCAAACCCAAAATAACTATCAGGACGATGCTAATCAACTGAATTGAATTAATTAGTTTAGAAGGAAGCAGTCGTCGTAGTAACATGTCTAACTCCATGCTTTTCTTTACTTAAGAAATGTTCCTAGCGAATACCTACTCCAGCGAGGTATGGTATGAAAACAACATCCTACCTAGGTCAGACAATACAGCCTGGCAAACCAAACGGAAGCGGCATTATTGCGGATCGTTAGCACAGCCTTGATTCATTGTATATGCTCTTACCTGTTCTATTATATGATCAAAATACGAAAGAATAGAATTTGTGTAAAATTCAGCCGAAGTCTGCAATGAAATTATGGACAATAGTGGATAACGTACGCAATGAGGATTCGAAAAAACCTATCAGGAACATGCCGTCCAGGATCATAACAAAAGATTCAGGCTCTCTCGACTACTGTCGTCATCACAAAAAAATAAGACGAAGGATTTAAAACCTGCATGCGTAGTTGCCTGAAGCAGCTTCTAGCACCTATGCTCTGATCATTAGCATTATTTCTGAGTAGTTGAAATCGGCCTATCCGTGCTACTGCCACATATAGCACAGTGATATATTGATTGAACCTCCCCGAGAACAGCGAACCCCCGTTCCATTTTGGAATCAGTCACTCATCCCCCGCATCCAATTTCAGCGCGCAATGTATTCCGTAAATTTCCTCTCTATCGTAGATTTCTAGGCAAACACGATTGATAGATAACAGTTAATGGCGCTTATTTTGCCTATTCGAGATGGGGAGCCCAGGAGGCTATGCTAGACAACATCCAGTAAAAGGTTTACAGGATTAATATCGACCTCCTTCCGAGAAATCGCAGTATGCTGTGGCACGTTTATAAATAACAAAAACCACTTTCTATTAATTCAAAATAATTTTCGTTATCTGCTTCAGTCCTTAGTTACTGCCTTTATAAGGCATAGGTATTTCTCATCGTTGTTACGTTAGGTAGCACCAGGATCACATGTCTTTATTCAGTAATGGTCGAACGGCACCACTGAATGATCAATGATTGACGTGTACTTCTATTACTTTTTTTACTTCGAATACTTCCGTTCAACATGCTTTACGTATGCTATATACATTTATAGACCTCTATTAATTCCACCGAAAAAGAGGGTGCAGGGCAATAACCAAAAATAGGCAAACAAGTTGGTGCCGTATTTAGTAATTAGGAAGTTTATTTTCATATCTAACAATACGTTACGCCACCTTAAGTCTACTACGATGACCTCGATGCACTGCCCTTTACGGCTTAGCGATCTTCGTAACTGGGGAATATTCGCTTTCGCTTTCGCTTTGGTCTCCACCTAAATACTCCGTCGTCAAAGTAGATTTGACGTTAGCGGTAGCAACGCGTGCCAATTATGGCACAAGATTTCCGCTAATCTCTACAGGGCCAGAAGCAAAAGTGAACGAAATTCAAGTTTCAAAAAAAAAAACTAAAGTAAATGCCCCTAGTAGATTATTATAGGCCACCAAAGAGGCCGACGCTTGGCAGAAATAGGCTAGGGCTTAATCTGGACTTGCTTTCATGAATCTAACCCGCAGAATCTCGGAATAAGGGAGGACCAGTGACTATCGATGAGAAATCGTTTGCGTATAATTCTATACAGCTCAATGCGCTTACCATACGTCAATACAATCCGTATACACATAAGGTTCTGCAGATACATATATATACTGTTAAAATATCATAGTACCAACTATCATAAGTCGAGGCTACATGTAAAAGATCTTTGATGCAAAAAAATTATATGAATATTTTTGATATGCATGGACTCGCCAAACCCTAAGTACTTTGTATTAAATAAAAAATTAAGCCACTTATAAAAACACTCCGTTCAGTGCATATCGGTGTCCGAACAAACCTGTTCCCCTGACAAAAGTCATCTGACGCTATCCAAACAATTAGTAGTTCCTTCGCCTTTGTGCCAAATCGCTCACGTTTACTCCGTCTTTGACCTCCCGAAGCCTTTTTGGCTTTACGTTAGCTTATTCGCTATATGAATTTAGATGCGTCCGGCCTTATAGCTGGCTATGTTATACGAACACATGACACTGGCGGACTGCTAATACTTTGCATTTTGGCTTTGTTGATCAGACGGTTTTGTTACAGATGTGGTCAACTACGGACACGGCTCCTTGCCTACGTTTCGCCTATTCTCTGATAATGTACATGTTAAATGTAATAAGTATTTAACCTATTCGTATTCGTTCATACCCAGTCAGTCGGTATTGATCAGCTAGAGCGGGGATCTTTTAAACATCAGTCACCATTGTTGAATTTTCATACGCAAATATAGTAGTGCGCGACCGAAATGAGACCAAAAAGTGCATCGAGTCACAGAGATTTGAAATAAAAAAATTGCATAGGTCAATTTAGTATGAATATACATCGACGATGTAACGAAATCAGTGGTCATAAGGACAGTTTCGATTTGTTAGCTCTTATTCAACGACGAATATAGGGGGCAAGATTATGGCCGGTGGCATCTGGAAAGGCCAACGACTGCCCGCTTTGTTTCAGCTCAAATATAAATCCGTTTCGAATCGTCAATGGCCAGCAGACCGTCCCGAAGTTCAGGTGCGAAATACATCTAATTGGTTTATCGTTCAGATTCGTGAAAGTAATATTGGTGCCTGCTTAGCCTACCATCAAACCGCTAGTATCAAGTTAAACGAAAACGTCTAAGCAATACCCGACCTAGACACGTCAGCGCGTTTCGTCTGTTTCGTTGTGTTTGCCATTGTCCAGCCTTAGTCGAGTGTCGGCTCACCTGCACCGTCGACAGTAAACTGTGCCGATAATGTTTTAAGGTAGGACCTTGGCAGGCAAGGCCAGTACCTGTTTTCGATTTTTTTCAAGACAGCGAAAAGCGAAATGTACTTGTTACGCTAATGGACCGAATAGTGCGTCTGTCTAGGAGATGCTGGCTCTTGGCTGACACCAGCAAGACCGTAGAGATATCTAGAAAAACATACGATAAGCTGATGCCCATTGACGAACTGCTTTACTTTGTTGCAATCTTGCTTTCGTATCCAGTTCCCGATCCGTCCAGACATTTCAATTGAAGCGAGCTATTCTGTAGAAATACAAAGAACAAAATCTGAGCCTGACTGCATAACCCTTAACCAATCAACCGATGACTTAGTAATGGCCTAAATACTATCGAAGATGACGATGTTACATGTGGCCTGTCTATTTATTTCGGCTTAGCCACTTGGTTTTTTAAAGCCTTCTATTCAGCATGGCATACTACCGCATAACGAACGAATGATGGTATTTCGTTGGCCTGCCTGACTGTGTGTGCCATGTGATGAGAAGCTCGCGCTAATTGTTCCCTGTCGTCTGCTAAGATATGCATAGTCGAAAACAACTTTTTTCTTCAAGTCACATCTGGCATCCGTCCATCAGTGTTACCTAACTCAAGCTGTTGTCAATTGTTTACCCTTTTGTTCTCCTTCCTTTTTTTTTCTAAAAACAGTGCAGTAGTGCTAGTGACAAGATCATTGCCTTACTCATTTGGTCAATATGTGTGACAGGTAGATTTGACCGGTAAACCGTAGCGAACAAAAGCAGAATAGATTGACAAGTACAAAACGTAATGGTGGAAACATATTACTTACCATGATAAAACGTATACCAGTATACCACCGTCCCTTTTTAACCCACCCTTCGTTAGCAAATCACCCGTCTAGCGGTACATATTCAAGCATATACAAATATGTTGGGATACACACTATATGATGCGAACACTTCTGATGCCCATGGAAAACGCTACGTATAGCTAGGTATGAGTGTAATTAGTATGTAAATAAATCTACTGGACCTCCCAAGCATTTTTGACTTCCCTTTTATTGGCCTGTGACCAAATTGTCACAGTCCTGCAGAGTTGTCATACACATCGTCACGTTGGCCGCACACATCTATTGTAGCTGCTACAAAATTCTATCTGTATAATGGTTGCGTAGAGCTTTCTTTACAAATGTTTTCGGTACTCTGCCCTTGTCGTCGCTAGCGAATCGGGATACGAATCAAGCAAGCTACAAACATAAAGAAATCAAGGTTTCGGTTCTGGATAACCAGCTCGAAACATGGGCCGCCGTGGCTGAGTCACTCAACCAACCAAGCAGATCGCAGTGGCGAAACAATGGCGAAGCATAAACAAACAGTAAGTTTGTTATTAACGAAATATTATCGAAGAACACAACCTTGCTGGTCGCAAGCAGAAGTCAAGGATCACGATGTCCCTCACTGTTGCAAAAGAAGCTGAAGATATTGAAAAACGGTGGCAAGAGAGAAAATAGCCAGACGGGTCAACGACTGAAAGCTTTTTTTGCAAAAGCTATTACGAAAGGTTGCTTGCGTGCCGCCGTCTGGGGGGTAACAACGACGGACGGCGGACAGGTTGGCGCTTCTTCGTCTCTGCTTCAAGCCAAAAAAAGTAGGCTTAAATAGACAGCTACGACAACGACAAAGGCAGACAAAAGAACGCAATTTCATAGACGGCCTTATGGTGATGGCGTTCTAGTAGCGGAGATGGTGATTCTATAACAATTAGAATTTTTACTGAACAAAAAATGGCCTCCTGCTTGAGTGACCGCGACTCCATGGGTCTCAATGGATCCAGGCAAGCGCC